GAAAAAGTGGCAGCAGACAAAAATGAGTCCAAGCGATAGAAGAAAAAAAAAGACAGACACGGGGATTGGTAAGACAAAAAGCAATGGTCAGAGATTGTGGTTTAATGGCCAACACGGGATGAGCAGGAACAAGGGTCAGCAACAAAGCCAAGGTAAGGAAGAAAGGAACGGAAAAAGTTATGGAATAGATAATATTAAAGACATGGGAACAATGAAAAGAAATCAGAGATGAGGGCGAATTAAGACAAGGTGGAGGGCAAAGAGAACGGGGTAAGTGAGAACACACACAAACAGGAACACAGAGCACAGATGAGGTGGAGAACAAAGTAAGGAACAAAGGTGAGGAACAATTAAGATCGAGGACGAGAGGGAGAGAAAATAAAATCAAGGATGGAGGGCAGAGGAAGACCAGAGATAAGCAGGAAGAAACATGAAGAGCAGACAAGATGGAACACAGAAGGAGACCCAGAATGAGCAGGAAGGTGCATAAAGACCAGACAAGATGTAGGACAGAAGAAGACCCAGAATAAGCAGGAAGAAACATGAAGAACAGACAAGATGGAACACAGAAGAGGAACCAGATAAGCAGGAAGAAACACAAAGGACAGACAAGATGCAGAACAGAAGTAGAATCGGAAGAAGACAAGTAGAAGACCCAGGATAAGCAGAAAAAGAGGACATGATGAAAAACCAGGGTTAGCAGGAGTAAGGGTGAAGGACAGACAGGATGGAGTGATGATGGACAGGGTATGCGGGACAAGTGATGAGGATAAAGAACAGACAAGATGGAGGGAAAGGGATAAGGATGACGTATAGACAAGATGGAGTAGAAACAAGGAATGAGTGTTAGGCACATTCAAGATGAAGGGAAAACCAGCAATAAACATAAAAAAACAAAACCAAGATGGCGGACAAGGGGTGTGGTACATACAGTGGACACAAGGATGGGATTGGAGCACAGCAAGGAAGCAATGGGGGAGAGAAGCAAGAAAAAAAAGAAGAGGTTAGTATAGTCAGCCATGTGTATACAGCGCAGATAACAAGCAGCACATATATATAGATTATATATATATATAAATATAAACACACAGACACGGCATTAACACACAACAGGACAATAACTTACCAATAATTATGATGAGGATGATGGCGCATATCACTCCCATAATGATCATCATCTGAGGAGAAAACAACACGAGTGAGACGGAGAAGAGAGGTGGCTTCAAGCTGTGCTGCATAAAGCCACAATGGGCAGAATACCGCCAATTATAAAAGATTCTGACCAATGGTGGCCCTCCACAAATTGTCATCACTTATTGAGGATTGTTTGATATCAAACAACTTTAAGATTTAGTAAGCCGTAAGGATCCAGCGTTCTTCTGTCTGGTCTATAGCTAGAAACAGCTGATACAGTATACAAGTCAGGAATTTCAGGGAAAACAAGTCTAAGAAACGGAGAATTATATCTTCTTGATGATGGCCAATAAAGCCAAAAAACTCCACAAGGGAAGAACAGCCAAGTCAGATACAATGGAATGTTCCAACAAAGTAAGTTGGTATGTAATGATGTACTACACAATACAGATGGAGGACAAAAAGATATCTAAGACCAGCAAAAAGAAACCTAAAGAACAGACAAGATGGAGGACAGGAGAAGACCCGGGATGAGCAGGAAACAAGCATAGAACCCACCACCTTCTGTGGAGTGGCTACTTGACATTTAGTTGTGCTGGTACTGTAATCAGGTTGGCTAAATTATATTTGGTTATTATCTGGTTAATTCCAGGTGTTCGGACATTGATTGTACCTACCTAAGAGGGGTGTGACCCTGGTGCAGTGTTGAACAGCCAATGGGGGAACATTGCGAGTGTGTGTGGCTCACCAGTAAATCACTAGGGGTTTCATGGTCAGTGGTGCATGCTGGGGGAGTGCATATATACTCAGGGGATTTGCCATGTGCTTAGTCTGAACTGCCCCTGGGCTTAGCCTGGGGGTGGGATGCTCAAATGTTGCCTAGGGTTCAAGCCTGGAGGAGGCCTTACATGTGGACCCTGGAGGGGTCAGTGACTGATTGAGGAAGAGAACCAGAGAAGTTGGATGGCTACTGGAGGTGTCTGGTACTGGAAGGAACCTCAGGAGCAAGGCGGGTGTCTCTCCTACTGAAGATCTCATGCCTATCCTTGTTCAGCTCTAATACACAGTGCCAGCCTGTTCTTTTGTTGATTCTGCACTGTAGAATGCTGCAAGGGAACTGTCGAGTTTTGAGTCTGTTCTGTTCTATTTTTGCCATGGATGTCCTAAGCCCCATACCCTCTCTCCCAGTTGATGATCTATAATAAAGTATTTGAAAAAGGCAATTAAAGTGACTGGTGCCCAACTTTCTTTGATCACACATCCCTTCACTGGCCTAGGAGGATCATCCCCTGAGAGTGACATGCCAAGCCCTCCCTGCCTTTGGGGGTCCACGCTATGCCTCTGGGGGTCAGGGGGCGCTACACAAGCATGGAGGACAGAAGAAGACCCGGGATGAGCAAAAGCAAACGTGCAGAACTGATATGATGGAGGACAGATGAAGAGCCGGGGTGAACATAAAGATACATGAAGAACAGACATGATGAAGGACAGAAGACCACCCAGTATGAGCCTAAACAAACAAGAAGAACAGACATGATGAAGGACAGAAGAAGATGCCTCTGGGGGTCAGGGGGCGCTACACAAGCATGGAGGACAGAAGAAGACCCGGGATGAGCAAAAGCAAACGTGCAGAACTGATATGATGGAGGACAGATGAAGAGCCGGGGTGAACATAAAGATACATGAAGAACAGACATGATGAAGGACAGAAGACCACCCAGTATGAGCCTAAACAAACAAGAAGAACAGACATGATGAAGGACAGAAGAAGACCCAGGATGAGCATAAACAAACAAGAACAGACATGATGAAGGGCAGAAGAAGACCCAGGATGAGCATAAACAAACAAGAACAGACATGATGAAGGACAGAAGAAGGCCCGGGATGAGCATAAACAAACAAGAACAGACATGATGAAGGACAGAAGAAGACCCGGGATGAGCATAAACAAACAAGAACAGACATGATGAAGGACAGAAGAAGACCCAGGATGAGCATAAACAAACAAGAAGAACAGACATGATGAAGGACAGAAGAAGACCCGGGATGAGCATAAACAAACAAGAAGAACAGACATGATGAAGGACAGAAGAAGACCCAGGATGAGCATAAACAAACAAGAAGAACAGACATGATGAAGGACAGAAGAAGACCCAGTATGAGCATAAAACAAATAAGAAGAACAGACATGATGAAGGACAGAAGAAGACCCAGTATGAGCATAAACAAACAAGAAGAACAGACATGATGAAGGACAAAAGAAGACCCAGTATGAGCATAAAAAATGTTCCAACAAAGTAAGTTGGTATGTAATGATGTACTACACAATACAGATGGAGGACAAAAAGATATCTAAGACCAGCAAAAAGAAACCTAAAGAACAGACAAGATGGAGGACAGGAGAAGACCCGGGATGAGCAGGAAACAAGCATAGAACCCACCACCTTCTGTGGAGTGGCTACTTGACATTTAGTTGTGCTGGTACTGTAATCAGGTTGGCTAAATTATATTTGGTTATTATCTGGTTAATTCCAGGTGTTCGGACATTGATTGTACCTACCTAAGAGGGGTGTGACCCTGGTGCAGTGTTGAACAGCCAATGGGGGAACATTGCGAGTGTGTGTGGCTCACCAGTAAATCACTAGGGGTTTCATGGTCAGTGGTGCATGCTGGGGGAGTGCATATATACTCAGGGGATTTGCCATGTGCTTAGTCTGAACTGCCCCTGGGCTTAGCCTGGGGGTGGGATGCTCAAATGTTGCCTAGGGTTCAAGCCTGGAGGAGGCCTTACATGTGGACCCTGGAGGGGTCAGTGACTGATTGAGGAAGAGAACCAGAGAAGTTGGATGGCTACTGGAGGTGTCTGGTACTGGAAGGAACCTCAGGAGCAAGGCGGGTGTCTCTCCTACTGAAGATCTCATGCCTATCCTTGTTCAGCTCTAATACACAGTGCCAGCCTGTTCTTTTGTTGATTCTGCACTGTAGAATGCTGCAAGGGAACTGTCGAGTTTTGAGTCTGTTCTGTTCTATTTTTGCCATGGATGTCCTAAGCCCCATACCCTCTCTCCCAGTTGATGATCTATAATAAAGTATTTGAAAAAGGCAATTAAAGTGACTGGTGCCCAACTTTCTTTGATCACACATCCCTTCACTGGCCTAGGAGGATCATCCCCTGAGAGTGACATGCCAAGCCCTCCCTGCCTTTGGGGGTCCACGCTATGCCTCTGGGGGTCAGGGGGCGCTACACAAGCATGGAGGACAGAAGAAGACCCGGGATGAGCAAAAGCAAACGTGCAGAACTGATATGATGGAGGACAGATGAAGAGCCGGGGTGAACATAAAGATACATGAAGAACAGACATGATGAAGGACAGAAGACCACCCAGTATGAGCCTAAACAAACAAGAAGAACAGACATGATGAAGGACAGAAGAAGACCCAGTATGAGCATAAAACAAATAAGAAGAACAGACATGATGAAGGACAGAAGAAGACCCAGTATGAGCATAAACAAACAAGAAGAACAGACATGATGAAGGACAAAAGAAGACCCAGTATGAGCATAAACAAACAAGAAGAACAGACATGATGAAGGGCAGTAGAAGACCCAGTATGAGCATAAACAAACAAGAACAGACATGATGAAGGACAGAAGAAGACTCTGGATGAGCATAAACAAACAAGAACAGACATGATGAAGGACAGAAGAAGACCCAGTATGAGCATAAACATACATGAAGAACAGACATGATAGGAGGACAGAAGAAGACCCGGAATGAACATGAACAAACGACATAATGGAGAGCAGCAGAAGACCTGGAATGAGCTGAAACACACATGAAGAACAGACAAGATGGAGGACAGAAGGAGGAGCAGGAACAAGGTTGACAAAAACAAGATTAAGGGGTTGGAAGACAAAGGAGAGATACAGGACATCAAGGATAAGAGTGAAGAAAGAGCAGGATCAAAGGAAATTGTGAAAAACAGACATGTAAAACGCAGAAGACCCAGGGAGATAAAAAGAAATAACAATTCAGAGAGAGGACTGCTCCATCTATTCCTTTTTGGTGGCCGTGCCTTAGAATATTTCTAAGTTAGAGGTTTCCAGGAGAGCGCTGCAAGCATTATTACTGTGCTCTCTCAGACAGAAAAAAATTGGGGTAAATGTATCAAAACTGGAGCAGACAGAATCTGGAGCAGATGCCCACAGTAATCAGTCAGTTTCTCTTTTTGTTCCGTTAAGGTTTGAAAATGAAAGATTGAAGCTGACTGGTTACTATTAACAACTGCAGATTCTGTCTGCTCCAGTTCTGATAAATCTCCCCCATTGTCTCACTGTCACATGGTAGGCCTAATTCAATCCATGCCACCACCCATGAACATTGCTATGTGGTCTCTGGGGGGAAGAGCCCATATATACCCTTTTTGAAGACCCATTGCAAACGAGGCAAACCAAAGATGTCTCCTGTAGACAGCCCGCTCCTGACAATGGGCAAGTGGTATGGTAAGATGTGCCCCAAACTGTCCCAACAGGAGCCAACTGCCAACAGGAGCTGGGACCGGGCTCCCTAGACACCTGTTGAGGTGATCTGGCTCTGTGTGTAGCCGCCCATCCTGGGATGTTTCCATGCCTACTAATACATCATAAAAAAATAAAAGGTGCATCGAAAGAGCAGGTGTCCTTCATAGTGGCCCCCGGTGGGTGTCCAGGCCCTTTGTATTTTTCTTCTTTGTATAATATCCTTCTATTAAGGAGCTGTTAGTTGTAGACAACCAGCAAATCTCACCTTGAGGTTCTTCCACCAGTACTTGCGTTTGAGTTTGGCCGCGCTGGTTTCAAACTGCGAGGCTCCGGCCTGCAGAGCGTCCGCACGGTCATCCAGTTCGGACAGCTTTTGATCTCGTTCCAACACCTTGTCTACATTGACGCGCATGATATCCACAACCTGTGGGGGAGGAGGAAGAGACGCTGAAAACACACCGACTTATTGGTCATTAGGGCGTAACATCTTGCGTTGCTCTCTACTCACCTCATCGACCTGTGCCTGCGTTTGCTGAAGCCTTCTGTTGCTGGTGAGGTTGGGGGGAGCTGGGGGTCCTTCTCCGGGGGCAGCGGGAGGGCCAGCAGCTGGGGCAGACCTAAAAAAATAGATGGTACTGGTCAGAATCCGCACTTCGACTTTAAGCTAACCCAACGCCCACTGCGCTTGTCTGGGACGAATATGTCAGGGAAACGTCACAGTTCTCGGACAAGCTGTAGCCCCCTGTGAGCAAGGCCGTAGACAGCTGTCAATAGAAAGGGTGTCCCCATGGGAAGATTTTCCCCTCACCTTTTTGTCTCTGTGGCATGGTCACCAGAATAAATAGGGTGAACCTCTCTAACAGACTCAAAACCAATAAAGCTTCAGTTTTCCTCTCAGCATGGTGACCTAGACCTGCTGAGTCTCATCAGAACGGAGATGGTTTTCACTAGGGATGCACAGATACTTTTTGAGTACCAGTGCCGATACTTGGCATTTTCATGAGAACTACCAGGGTTGCAGCGGTTGCAGCTGGGACCTGGCTCTGGCGCTCCACCACTGTCCTGAAATCATTAGTCTGTATTGTTTTAGAAAAACTGTCACATGATAATAAACAAAAATGTATCAGTACTCGTACTTGTAAGTACTCGGCAACTACCAGTACTTGTACTCGCAAAACTGGTATCTGTGCATCCCTTTATTTATGTTTATAAAAACAAAATCGTAAATTAAAACAGAGATGTACAAATCCCAGGAGCTCCGTGTGCTCCTTACCAATGACAGCTGCCTTGTAATTTTTGAATTTTTCTCTAGTCTAGTCTTGGAGCTCAAAAGTATCGGTACATGTACTCGTACTTGTACCGAGTACTGTACTTGGTATCTGTGCAACCCTAGTTTTCACATATGTCACATGTGCCCGTTCCGATTTTTCCTCCATGTTGCCATGGAAGAGAAACGGACCCATGTAATTGCTATTGGTGGCCGGATGTAAATGGACGTGCGTCCACCTATATCCACCCACATCCAGTCAAGTCAATAAAAGCGGTCCTTTTGCGGACCTGGAAGTCAGAGCCGTAGCTAGCTCTTTTTGCGCCTGAGGCAAGAAAAGAAAATTGTGCCCCCCCCCCC